GTGAGCCCCTCCAAGGGCAAGGAGCCCCCCCCCCCCAAAAAAAAACAGGAAAGTGGGGGCAGCGGAAATAAGACCAGAGAGAGAAGCTGCTTCTTATGTATGTGTGGAATGTGGAATGTATGTGTGGACCAGTGACATGCGGTGCCTCTTGCTCAGGTTGAGGCATTCCCCAGCCCCGCCCCCGTCAGCAGAAGGCCCCGCCTCCTGCCGTTTGAAGCTCCGCCCCTGATGGACGAAGCTCCATCCCCAACCTAGTGTAAAGGAGGAAGGTAGGAGACAGGGAGGAGCCTCCCTGTCCCTCACTTGCTCCTCACCGCTGAAGCTCCGTGACAGGTTACACAGCGGGGAGGATTTCCCTGCTGTGTAACCTGTTAGATGCCGATCTGAATGGAGAAAAAGCTGTCAGCTTCAGACATGAAGCGGACAGCTTTTTCCTCCATAATACTAGGTGAGGCTCTGCCCCACCTGCCTCTCCTGACTGCAGGTCCCTGGTGTGGACCTCTGCCGCTAAGAGGTGTAACCAAAATAGTGTTTAATATCACTTTAAAGATGGAGTTACACCTGAAATAATTCCCAATCAATACTTCAATCGAAATTTCTCCTGAGCACACAAAGTCCTCCTACCTGTCCTGCTGATCTCATCCAGAACCGCCAATAAATTGGGATGAGGATGATCTTTCTGTAGTGCGTACAGACATTCCCAGAGTCCAATCACAGCTTCTCTCCCCCGATCCTGAATATCTTGCAACACTTCGTTAGAGATGGAGGAAGCGTCTGCTCTTCCTTCCCATGACACGTATTCCTGCAAATAAACAGAAATGATATGGAGTTCTCCTCTGCATGGAGTTCTCCCCTCCAAAGAGATTATTCACAGAGGAGCTGAAGGATCCAGCCGTGGCTTTGGCTCTCTTCGGCCACCGGAGCCCTTCGATTCAGTCGAACTAAAGGGCTGCTGTACAGGCTATTCACTATAGCCCGTACAGCAGCCGAGCCGAAGGCATATGCTTCGGCTCAACTGAGCCGAATTGACAGCCAAAGCGGGGCTAACGGACTGCCAAAGGCGGCCGTTTGCCACGCAAGTGACAGCTAAGTGGATCCAGCCGTGATCTCACATTTGGCTCAGCCCAGTTGTAATGACAGATCAGCGTCCCCAAATGACCTGGGGACGCTGAACTGTCATTAAACAGCAAACAACTAGGCGGAGTCGGTCATGATGTCACAGCCAGCTCCACCCAGGAAACAGTTGGGCGGAGCTAGCTGTCACTGCTAGCTCCAACCAATTTTTTTTTTATCTTTATTTATTTTTTCATTTTAGTATTTATTTACATTTTAGAAAGAAAAAAAAATGTAACCTTTCTTTTTTTTCTACTTTTTTCACTATTTTCTATTCTGCTCAGAGGAACCGAGCAGAATAGCCGAGCCGAATTGTATTCGGCTATTCACTCACTGCCCTTCGGCCCCTATGTGAATAGGGGCGAACGGCAGTGAGTGAGCGTTCGGAGGTTTGGTCTCAGCCGATCCAACATCTGAGTCGAAGTCCTTCTGCATGTTCGGCTGATTGAAGTGCAGCCGAAGGAAGACGATGTACGACTGATTTCAGCCATACTGAGCCGAAGTGACTAGCCTAAACGTTGTTCGGCTTTCTTCACTTCGGTTGGATTATTCACTCGACTGCCTTCGGCAGCTTTGTGAATAACCCCCGAAGTGTCAAGCAAAGTGAAAGGAGCAAAAAAGGGTATTGAGGAGCCATTGAGGAATGTCAAGAGGGTCCCTGATCAACTTTACTCTGGAGTCCATATATAGCCTATGAGGAACATGGAGGTCATAGTGAACCCCTCGGCTTGGAGTTCCCCTTTTATCACACATACTCTGCAGCAGGTAATTCAGAATTTTATTTTTCTTACTTTTGTATTCAAGACATCCCGAGACTTGAGTTCTACCAGCAGGGCATGGGGGTCCAAGTTCTCCAGAATGTGGGTCAGGTCATCTCTGAAATACTCGTATATCCTCCTCAGAGATGAGTCAGAATAAGAAGACAGCTGTTGGCGGAACCTCCTGATGTCCTCTAGAGAAACACACAAAAATATATTACAGGTCTGAGGCCCGAATTTAGGTCCTAGATTGTCCTTTAAAGCTAAAATGTAATTGCTTTGGGTAGGGATACAGCCAGGCCCGGATTCCCCACAAGACCACCGAGCCCGGCCTCGGGGTGGCAGCAGTGTGAAATCCCCCGACGCCCAGAACATGCAGTTCCGGGCGCCAAGTTACGCTTTCTACATTTAGTCCTGCTTTGCACAAGCAGGGCTAAATGTACAGCGGGGAAGCCAATTGTACGTTTTCAAGCGATGTCGCCGAGATCACTTGCAAAAAGTTTGCAGCCTGTCCGTTCTCCCCCCTTCCCCCCACCTACCTCTCTCCATGCTGGCTCCGGGCTCTGTCCTCCCCCTGCCGCTGAGTCTCTCTCCTGTCCCTAGTCCCTGTCGTCGAGGGTTAAAAGTAACACTGCCGCTCCGTGTACACAGTGAGAGGGGAGAGCAGTCTTCCCCTCTCACCTGTCACAGGAGTTCCAGCACAGTGCTGTGCTAGAACTCCTGTATTGGAGGTGATAGGGTCAATAAAGAGAACCTGCCACCTCCAATTGCTATCACACAGGGGGCTTGTTAGCTCCTGTGTGATAGCAATAAAGTTAAGTGGAAAAATAACATTGATTAAAAAAAACTATTAAAGAAATAAAAATTCAAAAAATAAATAAATAAATAAAAAAATAAAAAGGTCATTAAAAAGTAAAAAATAATAAGAAACAATAAAGAATCCGGCCCTGGATACAGCACCAAACTCATTAGTTCAGTGAAATGGTGTGTATCCTTTTACCTGCAGCTGTGAATGTGTGGTGGACATTCTGCCATTCAAGTGCTCCTCCTCCATTCACAGAAGGTGCTGCATTTTGGGATAATAGGAATATGAGCTCTGTGAATGGAGGTGAGGGTAGAAGGGGATAGGGCCAGCTGGAGAACTTTGGAGACTAGCGGCCGCTGAGGGCAATAACCATTAGCTGTAATGGGGCAAGGAGGGGAAGAATTACACATAAAAGGCAGCTGCAGGTGAGGGGGATACACCCCTTTACTCATATCTATGGAGTTTGGTGCTATTCCCCTCCCCACAAAAAATGAACTTCAGCTTTAAAGTGTATGTTTTTTTTTATTGGGACGGGGTGGTGAGAGGTTAGAACCTCGTCAGGCTTATATTATTATTATACAGGATTTATATAGCGCCAACAGTTTGCGCAGCGCTTTACAATATAAGGAAGACATTACAATCACCATACAAATCAAGACAAGATAGTAAGGAGGGCACTGCCCCTGAGGGCTTACAATCTAAAAGGGAGGGGCCAGTGATGCATGAGGAGGGAGCTGTGTGGGGATGAATTGTTTGAGAAAGTGATAGTTAAGTGGTCAGGTTGAGGTGGGATAGGCTTCCCTGAAGAGATGAGTCTTAAGGGAACGCCTGAAGGCAGAGTGGGAGGCAGATGGACAGGTTGGGGTAGAGAGTTCCAGAGGATGGGAGAGACTCTAGTGAAGTCCTGGAGGGGAGCATGGGAGGAGTTGACGAGGGAGCTGGAAAGCAGAAGGTCTTTTGAAGAGCGGAAGGGACAGTTAGGGTGATACTTTGAGATGAGGTTGGAGTTATAGACAGAGTTGTGGATGGCTTTGTAAGTGATTGTTAATATTTTTTATTTTATCCTTTGGGCTATTGGAAGCCAGTGTAGGGATTGGCAGAGGGGGGGTGGGGAATGGAAGCCAGAGGGG